TATTCATACCCCTCACTGTTTATTCATCATTCAATTCATTCTATATTTTATTCTGTAGATTGTGTACATTACTTTTCACTTTACTGCTTGTTGCACTCCTGGTTAGAAGCTAAACTGCATTTCGTTGTCTCAGTACCTGTAATCTGTGCAATAACAATAAAGTTGAATCTAATCTTGAGCAGGAACAAATGTATTTACTTAGTACATATCTGACATTAACGATTAAACACATGTGTGCATTCTTTATAAATGCAAACCGACAAAAAACCGAGAGAAGAAGAAGAAGCCGACTCCGAGCTGTCCGACTTCAGGCGAGCTTTTTGAGACCTCCCCCGGCTGCAATCGGCTATTCTCGTCTACTTTCGAGACGAGCCGCAGCTCATCTCAAAACAAGCCTAGTCTTTCTTTACGTATTAGTGATGGGAATTCCGGCTCTTTTTAGTGAGCCGGATCATTTGGCTCGGCTCACTAAGAAGAGCCGGCTGTTCCTCCCCCCAAAAGGCTCTTCATGTTACCACAGTTTACCACGGAGCCTCAGTTTCGCCGCTGCGAGGCTCCAGCGCTCACAGTTCACGCGCGTGCTCCACGAGCACCCCCCGTCAAGGCTCGCCGGCAGTTCACTTTCCGTCACAGGAACACGCTTTGCTGGCGGCGAAAATAATCCCACCAGACTCCTTTGCCCCTCCAGCATTTAAAGCGACAAAAACTCTCGATCTTCTCCCGAATTATTTATTTATTTGGACGCCCTCGGCTCGAGTTCAGGGCGTTCCGAGCTGAGTAAGGGCGTCAAATGACGGCAAGACGCCCCCTGGCCGAAACGCTGCTTCACGTCACCACCACGAAGCTAAAGGCGGCTAATTTTCGGCGTGATGACGTTTTTCTTATTATGACAGTTGAAAGCAACATTGGACATTTAGGAGTTTGCTGAAATGTACTTATATGTTATGTCGAAGAGCAAAACATTCATCTCTAGAGCTTCCATTAACTATCGGTATTATTTAAGTCCTCTAACCAAAAACATGTTAAGAACAACATTTGACTTTCGAGATGAGCGACCCGGAAGTAGTAAAATGCTGACTCGTGTCCAGGTTTTAGGACTCATTCCCGCAGCACTCTGGTGTCCTCTCACCTTTCTTCTGGTCGTCTCTCTTCTTGGCTGCGTCCTCTCTCTGTTTCTTGATGATGGCCAGTCTGGCGAGGTCGGCCCGGGCCTGATCCGTCTTCCCCTCCAGATGGAGCTTCATGTAGCGCTCCTTTGACTTCTGCTTCTCGATCTCCTCTCTGAAAGGACCAAATATGTGTATTAAATCGAAACATCAGAACCCCAATAAAAATACAACGGCACAAAACCAATCATTTTCCTGAGTGACGCTTACCTCTCCCTGCGAGACAGCTCTCTGGGAGCGTTGACGTCTAACTCCGCCACCTTCTTGCTCTTCTGAGACACACGGTTTGGGTTCTCAATCTCTATGAGCCCCTCCACCCCACTTCTTTTTCTGGACTGTGTGGAGAAAATAAATACTTTTTTTAAATCAGGGAAAAAAGTTATCCACCAGAACAGTTATGGTTGGTAAAGACAGAGAAATATGCATTGTTTGAATGTGGTTTTAAAAACATTTCTCATTGGGTATTTTCCATCGATTCAAAAGCTGGTAGTATTTGATCATGATATGGAGAGCAGTTACACATTTCAACATTAGGTGTGGTGTCAGTCGTTGGATTCCAATATCTAAAACAAGTATTTGCACTTTTAAAAATCAACATTGAAAACTTTTATTATTACAGACTCAGGGTCCAGATAAAAGACAAGACATTACATATAATAAATTACATACACAGCATAAAACAAATTCATAGTTTAAGAATAATTTAAATCAGTGTCCTACAAAGAGACAACTATACCAATGTCTCCACAGCTCCGATTGGTAGCGTGTAGTACTAAACCTTATGTTCGATAAGGCCAAGAGGATTTCATTATCAGAGCCATTAAGCCGGCAAATACATTTATACATGAGATTTCTTAAAACAGCTTGTAGAGTATTGACTCCTGCAGCCACAAACATTTGACTAGACCATCTAGGTCTCTTCAGCAATATTCTCATGGCATCATTATAAGCTACTTGAAGTTTCCGTAAACTTGCTTTTCTGTAGTTTGTGCACAAAAATGTGCAGTATAGAGTGGTGTACAATATGCTCTGAACAGAGACATCTTCACTCCATCTGTACATGCACTAAACTTACGTAGGAGAATGTTTGCTTGTGCATACATCATGCGGCATTGCCTATTATAATAAAATAAAACGTATGCATACATATTTTAATCATTTTTTTAAGGGGGCACTATCATGCTTATTGGGAGCTTCCCTTTCCTGTGTTATATAGCTTTGTCTGCATGTAAATGGTCTCCCACACACTCCTCCCCAGTCCTAATTTTCACAAAAAAATAAATGGTTGTATGCAATTTGGTCCTTTCTCCCATTTATTCGATTAGATTCCTGTATCGTCACTACACAGAGTACAGCGAAGCATTCCCGATGGTGCTATCACACATAACAGACCGTATAAGTATCATTTTGACAATACAAGCTAAACCTTTTTTTAACCCCCCTCCTTGACAATTACTAAGCGGTAAATACTTGCGGTACCCGAGGTGTGCCGGTCAAGAGTCCCCCGGCTGATTTTTAGTCCCAGTCCGCCCTGATGGACTATTGAACAGTTGCGCTTACAAACATACATTATCTAAAGGAACAATACGGTTCAAGGCAGAACAAAAGTGTAACAAGGCAATAAGTAATAAAATAATTTATATAGCGCCTTTCACGAACCCAAGGACGCTTTACAATGGGAAATAACAAAACAAAACAAAAAGTAATAATAATTCAATACAGATACATAAGGCTGAACAAAACAAACAGGAACATGTATTGGATCAGTGTCCTAGTTGATATACAAAAATAGAAATTAAGCTTGTGCATATACATGAGACTTGTATACGCGCTTTTCTAAAAACTCAAAGTCGCTTTGCACAGAGAATAAAATAACACACAAAAAATACAAAAAGAGATAAACAGGGGGAGGGGGGTCAGTGGTTGAACAGGTGGGTTTTGAGTGATGTTTGATGCGGTGAAGGGAGGAAGCAGTCTGATGGATGAGGTAGTGAGGCGTTCCAGAGGGTGGTGCAGCAACGGAGAAGCTCTGTCGCCCAGGACTTGAGGTTGGTCCGCGTATATGTATAAACAAGATGCGGATCAAGCCAGCCGTTCTTTCACTTTTGACGTGGTCAAACCAGCCGCCCCTGTATTTCGAGTGCGCGATTAGTTACAGGTTTCACGAATCGCATAAAACAAACTCTGGAAGGCTGGATTTTCAAAGTGAAATGGATGGCATGTGGTTCATTTCTATTATTGCGATTGAGGAAACAGGGTAATTTATGAGAATGAATTGTAGGCGCTGATATTGCTTCATAAACTTGTGCCAAATACTATCGAACTACTTTTACTGTGTAACTTTTTGAGAATGGCAAAATTCCTTCCTACTCAGAGAACAATGAAGGAGCATTTTGTCTTAACTTTGACGTGGGAATAAAAAACATTTCTTCCATAAGTAGTTTAAGGAAACTGCACATGTTTGTACTAAGTACTTCTTAGACTTACTTGCAAACATAATATGAACTACTTTTACTGTGTACTTTTGAATAATTTGGAGTTTCAAAAGTCCTCTCACAGACAACAAGAGATGAAGCATTTTTGTCAATAATGTGGTCATTGCCTTGTTCTCTGGAGGGGACTTTGGAATATCTACTTTGGTGCAGAGTAGTTAAAGAAGTATTAAGTAAAAAAAAATGGCAGTTTCATAACTACTTATGAAGAAAATGTTTTTTAGACCACATTAAAGTTGACAAATGTAATTCTGTTGTGGAGAGGACTTTGAAAGTAAATACTCAAAAAGTACACAGTAAAAGTAGTTAATATTAGTTTGCAAGTAGTCCTAGAAGTATTAAAGTACAAACATGGCAGTTTCCATAAACTACTTATGACGAAGAATGTTTTTTACCCACAGCAAAGTTAGACAAAAATGCTCCTCTTTGTCTCTGGAGGGAATTTTGCCATTCTCAAAGTACACAGTAAAAGTATGTTAATAGTATTTGGTGCAACAAGTTTATGAAGCAATAAGTCCTACAATTAATTTCATGAATTACCCTGTTTCCTCAATCGCAAATATAATAGAAATGAATACATGGCCTGCCTTTACTTTTGAAATCCAGCTTCCCCAGAGTTAGTTTTTGCATTACCGTTAAACCTGTAACTAATCCGCGCACTCGAAATACAGGGCCGGCTGGTTTCGGAACCACGCAAAATGTGACAAGACGGCTCGGCTTTGACCGCGCAGTTAATCAAGGGGGGCTAAGTGACCTAAACGGCGGATAAACTGTGGCGCGTTTACCACTAAATCGCCGCATAAGCGCCATAATCAGTGCGGCCGCATTTGCGCTTCAGATGAGGAGTGAGCCCCCTCATAACTCATGCAACCCCGTGTTGGCACAATACAACTCAGACCTGGCTTACCTGTCACGTCAATAAAGTGGCAAAATGCCTTAGTAAGGGGGAGGAAGTGATAGTAACGTTTTATCAATGCCATGCGATCTACCCACTTCCTTCGCGATCGATCGCACGTATTGGGACACCCCTGCACTACAGTAAAAATAAAAAGAAATAAATGTCTCTTTTCTAGATTAAACTGCACTTTTAGCGTGGCCTTTTTTATAATGACCACTAAGGGCAACACCTTTACAATAATCATGTCTAATCAACCATCTTGAATGCCACACATGTAGGTGGAGGGAGAAGTACTCACTAACACAGATTTAGAAATGTTTGTGAACAATTATTTGAGAGGAAATTTCCTTTTTTGCCAATAGATAAAAATTCTTACATCTTGATTTTCAGCTCCGTGAAAAATGGGAGCAAAAACAGAAGTGTTTCGTTTATATTTCGTTCAGCCTACTGGTACTTTATTTGATCCATACACTGTCCTTCTGATGGTATTTTAACCAACCACGGAGCTCAGAACCAGCAGCTTGTGATCTACATCAAGAAAGCCTTTAAATACATTAACATCTATAAATAAGAGCCATCATTCCTGTTTTCTGTGAGCCATCAATAGAGTCCGGCGGTGTTGAAGCCTTGTTGGGTTCAGGGACTCATCATCTGAAACACTGTCACCTGCACGGCTGGCCATGCAACGCTGGCTTTGATGGTTTTATTCGATGGAGCATATTTTGATGGAGGAAACAATACTGTCCATTTGAGAGGAAGAAGTCGTTCATTCACTGGTGGTTGGATTCCAAGAAGCGCATAAAAGACACGGCCTGTTTCGAATATTAGGTCTGAAGCTTGCTGCTCCACGCACCGTTATCAAAACTTTAATTGACACCCTACTTACCATCCACAAGGAGGAAGGTCCTCCTTGTGGTCCGTATTGTGACACTTTTTTATTTGTTTGTATCCAAACATCACCCGTTATTATCGTCTTGATACGTTTATTGTTGTGTCTCTTTCTGGTCTTCTTGTGTCCTCTTTCTGGTCTTCTAGTGTCGTCTTCTGTCTTGCTTGTGTCTATTTCATGTCTTCTTGTCTCTTTCTGGTCTCGAGTGTCCTCTTTCTGGTCTTCTTGTCTCTTTCTGGTCTTTCTTGTGTCTCTTTCGGTCCTTCTTGGCCTTTCTTGTCTTCTAGTGTCTCTTTCTGGTCTTCTGTGTCTCTTTTCTGGTCTTCTTGTCTCTTTCTGGTCTTCTAGGTTCTTCTGGCTTCTTGTGTCTCTTTCGGTCTTCTTGTCTCTTTCTGGTCTTCGAGTGTCTTCTTTCTGTCTTCGAGTGCTCTTTCTGGTCTTCTTGTGTCTCTTCTGTCTTCTACGTGTCTCTTTCTGGTCTTCTAGTGTCTCTTTCTGGTCTCCTTGTCCTCTTTCTGGTCTTCTAGTTTCTCTTTCTGGTCTTCTGTTCTCTTTCTGGTCTTCTCTGTCTCTTTCTGTCTTCTGTGTCTCTTTCTGGTCCTTCTAGTGGTCTTTTCTGGTCTTCTTGTCTCTTTCTGGTCTTCTTGTGTCTCTTTCCTGGTCTTCCTTGTGTCTCTTCCTGGTCTTTAGTCTCTTTCTGGTCTTCTTGTGGTCTCTTTCACACCACAGGTCTTCTAGTCTCTTTCTGGTCTTCCTAGTTTTCTCTTTCTGGTCTTCTGTGTCTATTCTTGGTCTTCTAGTGTCTCCTTTCTGGTCTCCTTGTGTTCTACTTTCCTGGTCGTCTTGTGTCTCTTCTGGTCTTCTAGTTCTTTCTGGTCTTTAGTGTCTCTTTCTGGTCTTCTTGCGTTCTCTTTCTGGTCTTCTAGTGTCTCTTTTCTGTCTACTTGTCTCTTTCTGGTCTCTTGTGTCTCTTTCTGTCTTCTTGTGTTCTCTTTCCTGGTCTTCTAGCTCTTTCTGGTCTCTTCGTGTCTTCTTTCTGGTCTTCTAGTCTCTTTCCTGCGTCTTCCTAAGTGCCTTTCTGGTCTTCTTGGGGGTCCTCATTTCTGGTCTCTAATGTGTCTCTTTCTGGTCTTCTTGTGTCCGTCTTTCTGGTTCTTGTGTCTCTTTCTGGTCTTCTAAGCTCCTTTCTGGTCTTCTTTGGTGTCTCTTTCTAGGTCTTCTAAGTCTCATTTCTGGTCTTCTAAGTGTACCTCTTTTCTGGTCTTCTTGTCTCATTCTGGTCTTCTAAGTCCTCTTTCCTGGTCTTCTTGTGTCTCTTTCTGGTTTCTTGTGTCTCTTTCTGGTCTTCTAACGTCTCTTTCTGGGTCCTTCTTGTGTCCTTTCTGGTCTTCTAGTCTCTTTCTGGTCTTCTGTCTCAATTACTGGTCTTCTATGTGCTCTTTCGGTCTTCTTGGTGTCTCTTTGTCTTCCTTGTGTCTCTTTCTGGTCTTCTAGTCTCTTTCTGGTCTTCTTGTGTCTCTTTCTGGTCTTCTAGTGTCCTTTCTGGTCTTGCTTGTGTCTCTTTCTGGTCTTCTAGTGTCTCTTTCTGGTCTCTAGTCTCTTTCTGGTCTTCTTGTGTCTTTGCTGGTCCCTTCTAGTGTCTCTTTTGGTCTTCTTGTGTCTCTTCTGGTCCTTCTAGTGTCTCTTCTGGTCTCTTGTTTCTCTTTCCTGGCCTTCTTGTGTCTCTTTCTGGTCTTCTTGTCTTTTCTGGTCTTCTAGTGTCCTTCTTTCTGGTCTTCTTGTTTCTCTTTCGGTTCTTGTCTCTTTCTGGTCCCTCTTGTTTCTCTTTCCTGGTCTTCTTGTCTCTTTCTGGTCTTCTAGTGTCTCTTTCGGTCTTCAAATTGTTTCTCCTTTCTGGTCTTCTTGTGTCTCTTTTCTGGTCTTCTTGTGTCTCTTCTGGTCTTCTAGTGTCTCTTTCTGGTCTTCTTGTTTCTGCTTTCTGGTCTTCTTGTGCTCTTTCTGGTCTTCTGTTCTTTCTGGTCTTCTAGGTGTCTCTTTCTGGTCTTCTTGTGTCTCTTGTTCTGGTCTTCTTGTGTCTCATTTCTTGGTCTTATTGTCTCATTTTGGTCTTCTAGTGTCTCTTTCTGGTCTTTTTGTTTCTCTTCTGGTCCTTCTAGTATCTCTTTCTGGTTCTTATTGTATCTCTTTCTGGTCTTCTTGTTTTCTCTTGTCTTGTCTTCTAGTGTCTCTTTCATTGGTCTTTTGTTTCTCTTTCTGGTCTTCTTGTGTCTCTTTCTGGTCTTCTAGGTGGCTCTTTCTGGTCTTCCTTGTTTCTCTTTCTGGTCTTCTTGTGTCTCTTTCTGTTTCTGTCCTCTTTCTGGTCTTCTAAGTGTCTCCTTTCTGTCTTCTTGTTTGTCTTTCTGGTCTTCTTGTGTCCTTTCTGGTCTTGCTTGTCTCTTCTGGTCTTCTGTGTGCTCTATCTGGTCTTCTTTGTTTTCTCATTTCTGGTCTTCTATTGTCCTGTTCGTGGTTCTTCTAGTATCTTTTCTGGTCTTCTTGTTTCTCTTTCTGGTCTTCTGTGTCTCTTTCTGGTCTTCTTGTCTCTTTCTGGTCCTTCTAGTGTCTCCTTTCCTGGTCTTCTTGGTTTCTCTTTCTGGTCTTCTTTGTGTTCTTTCTGGTCTTCTTGTCTCTTTCTGGTCTTCTAGTGTCTCTTTCTGGTCTTCTCCATTGTGTCTCTTATCTGGTCCTTCTAGTGTCTCCTTTCTGGGTCTTCCTTAGTGTCCTTTTCTGGTCTTCTGTCTCTTTCTGGTCTCCTAGTGTCATCTTTCTGGTCTTCTCTTGTGCTCTCTTTCTGGTCTTCCTTGTATCTCTCTCTGGTCCTTCTTGTGTCCTTTCTGGTCTTCTAGTGTCTCTGTTCTGGTCTTGCTAATGTTGTCTCCTTTCATGGTGCATTAGCCATTGTCTGCTTCTCTGGTCTTCTTGTGTCTCTTCCTCTGGTCCTTCTATGTCTCTTTCCTGGTCTTACTTGTGTCTCTTCTTGGTTTCGTGTGTCTCTTCTGGTCTTCTTGCCCTGTCTCCTTTCTGGTCTCTTCTTGGTGTTTCCTCTTTCTGGTCCTATCTTGTGTCTTTTAATGTTAAACAGCGAAAGCATTTTCGGGTGTCCTTTGATGTTAATATTAGCTCTTTTTGTTGAGCGCCACCTTTCTGTCCTCTTAGTAGTCATTCTCTGGACCTCCTGGTTCCTCCCTGGGCTCATTTATTCATCTTTGCCCTCTTTGAGGTCATTTTGTGTCTTGTTATTTCATTAGATGTCCCCTGCGTATCATTGTCTCCTCTTCATAGCCGTTTTTGAGTCTCTTTGCAGGTCATTTTGTGGGCCTTTTTGCAGTTTTTTGGTGTATTTTTAAGGTAGATTTTGAGATCCTCTTTGAAGCGTTATTTTGTGTCCTTTTTGAGGTCGTTGTGTGTATATTTGTAGTCCTTGTCTGTCTCTTCAACATTAGTCGTTTTGAGTGTCTTTTGAAGTAATTTCGTGGCCTTTTTGTAGATTATTTTGTCTTTTTATGGTCAGTGTGTGTGTGTGTGTGTGTGTGTGTTGTGTGTGTGTGTCGTGTGTGTGCGTGTGTGGTGTGTGCGTGGGGGGGGGGTGTGTGTGTGTGTGTGTGTCGGGTGTGGGGTGGGTGTGTGTGTGTGTTGTGATGTTGTGTGTGATGCGTGTGTGTTGTCTCTCCTCATCTTTCCTCTCTCCTCCCCTGATTGTCTCGCAGGTGGCAGCCTCGTCCCCTCCAGGTGCTGCCGCAAAGCCCCAATCAGGGCGCTCCTTAAGAGGAACCGTTCTCCATCCCCCCTGGGACCCCGGGCAATGTGTTGCAAGCATGGTGTAAGGTGTCTCCTGTCGCTGTCCTGCTAGATAAACTGTGTTTTGGCTAACTTTAGAGATCGCTCCTGTGTATTGTTTTGCTTTAGTCGCTTTCTTTTATAAAGAAAGTTCTGTTCTCAGTTACTTTGGCAAATTGCCGTGGTGAACCTTCTCCTTTTGTCTGATTTAATGTGAAATAATTAAACATCACTTCTTGTGGCTTCAGCACTCAGTTTCACTCTCCCTTTTCCTCTCGCCCTGTTATTTTTATGTTTTTGTTACTCTCCCTTTGTACGCCCCTAGTTTAGTAGGGAACGTAAGCATCTGGTGTTTTTTATGGTCCGTCTCTTTGTATTCAGTTTGCTCTTCATGGGGTCGTAGGGTGACTCTTTTTAGTGTTTCTCTATCTTACTAGCAATAACTTGGCATTAGTCTCCTTGCATCCCATTGTGGTTTTCGTGGACAAAACGTCCTCCGAGATGTCCCAAAATGTGATCCCCAATCTAACAGAAAAAAATTAGTGTGAGTAATTGAGTTGGCTACGTTCAAAGACACATAGCTCAAACCGCATTTAAACCAATCTAACAAGGATCCAAATCTTCAGCAAGAACAGTAACAGTACAATTCCACCTTTCTGAGCATATCTTGCAACAAACAACCAACTGTTGTAAAACCTGAATAGTTTTGATCGATCCCCCCGTCCAAAATAGGAAGTTACTCTTTAGAAACGCTGAAGCTGAGGCCATCAACACCGTGGACTTCAGACTCGAACTCTTCCTGTAACATAAACGTGCTTATTTCATTGAAGCTATAATCGTTTTGGGCAGAAACTAAAACCAGCGTAATGAGGTTTTGTTCACCAACAATTCGACATGAGAAACTCGTGGTTTGTTCTGTTGATTTTCCAGTTTAATTGGACAATGTTAATTTGCAGGATTCCTGAAAAGCTAGAAGTTTCCAGAAGGAACTGACAGTGTCACCTAATAGAGGT